CACATAGGAAAAAGAAGCTTATGAATGCGTTTGGTCTGACTTGAACCATTTACAAAGCCTCACTGTGAGTTTGTAAATGGTCAGAGTGGGGCCGAAACGTCGTCGTAAGCTCTTCTCTCCTGGTTATTTGTTTCATTGGGTTGTCGGGCCAGGGCATATGAGATATAGGGGACATTTTTTTTCAGACCACTGAAGTATATGGGGCTGAGCTTATAAGATAGAGGAGCACCTTTCTCAGATTGAAAAGCCATATTTATATTTACGTATTTAAACGTGAGAGCTAAGTTTCTAGGGATCAAGCAGCGCCTTAGGGATTGAAATTAATCAGGTTTGATCTAAGGAAAGGGAGGGTAAATCCTCTTCCTCAGATCAAAAGCTTTTCAGCAGCATTAAAACCCTCTTCAAAGGGCGAATTTAATTATATGTGAATATTTCTGCCTCGCGACATCCTAGTTCAGCTGTTGATGCCGGTGAAGGGATCTTGTTCCATGTGATTGTAGCTATCCTCAGACTTAAACACCTTAAATTTCCTCACTCCTTCGTCTTTAAGATGCAAGTTCAAGGTTTATATAATCAACGATCCGAGTAAGTATATACATGTTCTTTGAACCAATTCATCTACAATAAGTATATACATGTATAAATCTTGGTATACCCTGATATTCTGGTACGTATCTTGGCATATCTTGAAGCCTTGGTATACCTTCGTACGCTTATGTGAATCTTGATGTCTTGGTATGGCTCATCATATACATTTATGCACTGGTATCAATCTTAGTGGCATCATTATTTCCCTGAGATGATTTTTGGTATACCTTCATGTTCTTATGTGTTATACTTACTGGCACTCGTCAGGTAAGTACAAAAATGTTTTCATCAGTGCATTCCTCAACATATTTCTGATATATCTCGTGTTAACGATATATTTTCTCCAGTATAACCCAGCATAAATCTCCTGGTCTATTTTCTTGATATATCCTGGTATATAGTTGCCTAAGGATGGTTGCCTAAGGAAGACACGACCATTTTTCATAAGAAAAAACTGTTGGATTTATGCCTATTGACGTTGCTGTCTAAATCACAGGAAGAGTGGGTCTCGAAACCATGGTAAACAAGACCTAACACTCGTTTGCCATGGGTTCAAATCCTCCCGTTCTGTGATTTGTGTGAAATCGAATTATTTATTTTACGTGAGTTACCCTTGAGTTTTCACTGACAAAGAGGAATTAAATGTGGCTGAAACAATTCTCAGTTAACCTGTAGAAAGGAGAGGAAACTTATGTCGACGTTTCGCTCCATCAAATCATAACTGTGACTTAACACTTGTGGCTTGTCAGTAATCCAGGACGGACTGAAACGCCTTCATAAGGTTCCTCTCGTAAGTACCTGCTATGTGTGACAGGCTTCGTTTACACTTCTGTCATTGTTGCGATTAGCTACTCTCACGATATTTGAAATATCGCTTTGTAAAGACTTCATTTAAAACAATGTATAAATTGAATTTCTACTACCTGTCCCACTGCATTTATATTCATAATTTTTTTTAAAGATTTATATTTTTAACGTTATTAAGAGTAAAATAAATGAAAAAATATTTTTGACAGGCCTAAGGCCTTTTGATTACTCGCTGACACTGACCTTGACACTGATATTAAACATATTATGTATTTTGTTATCTAAGTTAGACGAGTGTTAAATTCAAGAATAAATAATGTATAATAATAATAAAAATAATCGTATTCAAAATAAAAGTAATATATTCTGTGAATTAGGGTCCATCTCTAGGGTAAACTGTGGGGACCCATAGTCTCGGATAAGTTGATAAAAAGGCTTCTAGGAAAAAAATTTGGATTTCTCCCTGAAGCCATTTAAATATTCAACTTCTATTTTACACTTATTTTAATTAATAGTATTATAATTATTGTTATTATTATTATTACTGGTATACATAATTGTACAATATATGAACCTTAAAATACAAAAATTCATCTCTGTATTTCACTACCTTGTTAATAACCCTTGTGTGCTTTTGCCCTAATTTTAATTCCTTTCTCTCTCTCTTTTTCCTTTACTTTCAATAATACTCATTTTTTTTTTAATTTTTATTATCCATTTCCTCATCTTTTTCAGTTTTAAATATTCCTTTTCACATATTTTATACATTTTTTTTACCTTTCCCACTTATATAATAGCCATATTATCCCTTTTCTACTTCCAAATATTTATTAGTCATTAAAAATTATTCCGTTTCTCCGCTATTTTAAACTTTTTCTTCCTTTTCACATTTTTTTAATAACCATTTTTGCTATTTTTCTCCTCATTTTGTAACAGTCAAAAATCCGTGAGTTAGAAAAGAAGGCCGAGGTGCAGAACCTCAGACATGAAGAACTTCTGCTGGAGATGCAAAGCCTGAAGAAGGCACAAACTTCATCGAAAAGCTCTTGGACGAGATCTCTCAGTGCTGACCTCCAGAGTCCTGATTCAGGAGATGTTACCCCAGGTGAGAGATATTTAATCTCTCCCTCCCTCCCTCCCTCCCTCCCTCCTGTGGTACACCTATAATGACTCTTTCTAAAATGCATCACTACGTTCTCCTTGGTATTCGTATCAGATTTTTTTTTATATTCCTCTCATATACCGTCTTAGTATGCTTGCCATATAACATTTTGGTAGTCCTGTCTACTGTCTTCTTGGAGTTCTCTCAAATACTTTTTCACCAAGCCTCCATTGTCTATCAATCTATCACATGCACGAGTAACATACCTCTATTCTTGAGATATATATATATATATATATATATATATATATATAATATATATATATATATATATATATATATATATATATATATATAATAATCACTTTTGTTTATGGAATGCTAACAAGAATTTAAGCCCAACTTTCTCTGAAATGCAGTTTTGAGTTTTAGACAATAGTAATAAATGGAACTAAGAAAGGTATGTTGAATTTTTACTTCAGGGAAAGGCATGTGAGCATATTACAACTCAAATTACATAAACAGAGGCATTCATTTTCGATCTGTTCTCAAACTGGTAGAATGGAAGGTGTTGGCTCGCTGAATAGGCTTTAGCATGTTTGAGTGATGCTACGTGTTAGGATATGAGAGAGATTACCCTCATATTTGTAAAGTTTTCATGGAGGGTTTTTTGAAATGTTGAACTACAAAAATGAAGGGTTTTGATATGTAGTATTTCAATGATGAGAGTTGTGCCCTGCGTAATTGATTCTGTAATTGTATAGTAGCCACTACCCACAGCCGTCTCAAACACACTCCACCACCAACACACTTCAACACCCACACTCTTAAACACCCACTCTTTCCACTACCACCACTCTCCAACACCCGCCCTCTCCAACACCCGCCCTCTCCAACACCCGCCCTCTCCAACACCCGCCCTCTCCAACACCCGCCCTCTCCAACACCCGCCCACTCCAACACCCGCCCTCTCCAACACCCACCCTCTCCACCAACAATCCCTAATACCTTTTGTGTGCCAGTCAATTCAAATCACTACGAGTTTAATGTCTAATTCCTTTCCCTTACTGTCGTTTCAGAGTGCTTAGTCATTCTCACAGGTAAGATAGGCTAGGCAACTGTTCTCAGGGTTCATACCCCATCAAGTTTAAACGTCTCAGCGAGAAATAAATATGCTCGATCCAGCAGGGAAGCTAATAATGCTAAAATGAAATTGATGTACATGTTAACACCTATGTAAATTATGTATTATATATATTTTGTATATGTTTATAGTGCTAAACCATTGTGGGCTATTCAGCATTAATGGGGCCCTCTTCAGTAAATTAAACTTTTTTTTTTTGGGTACCTTTGTATTTATATGTCAGCTATACCTCAAGTCACTGTCTCGTCAGAAAACAGGATCGAGCCTCCACTACTACTGACAATGAATGATCCACATGGGTTTAGCGCTTCATGGGAAAAATGTATAGCCTTGGGCCACTAACTTTGCCTCTCACCACAAACTTTTCATGACAGGAGCCTAAAATGATTTGGTAGTGTATGTTTAGGATTTATTTCCGGCAAGTTTCATATTCTGCCTTAATGCTGGTGGAGTGTTTTGATCTAAGAAAATGGAGATGTAATTCTGTTTTTCCTTAGATCAAACCTGATTCGCAAAGATGCTGTATAACTCCCTACGGGCTTAGCGCTTCTCTATATTTTAATAACAATAACTTATGCGTTGCGTTTTGCTTTACGTGGTGTTTTATCGAGACTTGATAAAGCTCTACAATTAGTGAAACGTTAGCCTAATGAAAGCTTATTCTGGAACTTAATATGACAGTTCACAGTCTTACATTTGCTAATCTGGCAGTCATCAGTCTAACATCCATTAAGCTAAAAGTTACTAGTTTATCACGACACTGTGTTTCTATGCAGCAGCAGTGACGTAGACAAAAGAACGTAGAACCGATTAACTAACTGTACAACCAATTTAGCCATGCTTGTACTGTACACAAATGTATTAGCTGCCCCGTAAGTCACTGTCCATCTCTAAACTGAGCACAGTAAGGCATAACAGTGCACTGTATGCCAGAATTTATCTCTGGAAGGAATAACAGTACACTGCAAGGCAGAACTGTGCATTTTAATGTAAAATATTTAATCCCTTAAATTTTTCATTGAAGACAAACGCCATTTTAACAGTACATAAATAATGCACTTGGGGAGACAGTTTAAAAAAATTGTTTGATTCATCCAAGATTTGATAGAGAAAAGAGCAACTTAATAATGGTCCAAAAAGGGCCAAAATCTGGATTAGTTTCCCTCTGAAAAACGTGGGTAATTTCTGATTTGTTCCAGCCGTGGTATTGTGACTATTATTCTTGCTATCAAATGAATCTTGTCGACATGGCAGAAAGAAAATTTCAGATTTATTAGTATTTTTATTCCCCACCCTCCTCTGCTTCTCATTTCTCCCTCATTATTACTCCCTCTCCATTTTCTGCTTCTAGTTACCTTTTTTTATACAGTTGTATGAAACCAGAGACACGTTGCGAGCAAGATTATACGTATTTGGATAAATCTTCGTTATTATTATAGTTGAAGAGGGATTAAAGGCCAAGGTATCCCACTTTTTAGTGTAATGAGCCGACGCCATAAACTTATTAATAGATCCCACAAAGTATAAATGATGAAACAGAACCCCAGTATGATGCATGGGGTTAGTCTTTAGTCATATAGAATTACATTTACTGCTATCGTTGCTCATTACTCAACAGCTCCGTGAAAAGCTTTTTATCATATTATGATAAAGTTCTATACAAAGTAAATCTCCGTATCTGTAACCTGTCTCTGTCTCTCTTCCTGTCCATACTTTTGTTAATACGCCAGATGATTATACAACACTGATCATCTATATCGTATTCTCAGCTGATACACTTACATTTTCATGTATTTCCTAGTTCCTTAAAGAATGGACATAGTTTGCATTTCCTAGTTGTTTCCAGAACAGGCTTTTATTGAGATAATGTTTAGCTCTGTGTTTATCACATCTGCAAACGTTGACCCAATAAAAGCCTCGTCTCTCATGTCTCCTTTACCTTCACTATTGTTATCATTTAGACCCTAGTTCTTTAGCATTGGACGAATCTAGTAATTATCTTAGACTTTTGCTTATAGATAGTCTAGAAGAAATATTTACACTAAATTGTTACACATAGAAGAGATGAAATCTGGGAGTATTTCCATTCTAGAAATATTAAAAGTGACGACCTCTGGAAATATTCTAGTGCTGGAGTGTAATACCCATAGAGATCAAACAAGAGAATGAGAGGTAAGGATTATTATTATTATTAGTAGTAGTAGTAATAGTAGTAGGTGTGAAACTTTTAAGTCATACGGTGAATGGAGAAATAGGAGATAAACAGATTTGATTCAAAGAATAGGAGGCAAACTTATTTGTTTACAGCTGCCCACGTTAAGGGAATACAAGGTGAGATCAGTACAGTTTGAGACAGTGATCTCGGACTATTTAACTATCTTCTACACTCTCTCTCGCTCTCAAGTTTTATAATATTGCTTAAAACATGTAAATTATTTATATGCACTTTCCTCTGCTATTAGTTTGGTTTATTTATATTCGATTGCTTATGTAGACAATCATCGGTGTCAACTACGGCAATATGAGGGAAATGTTACTGAATCTAACTGCCAGCAGTGTGTAGAATATATGAAATTATACTAAAGGCAGTGTGTAATGAGTCAAAAAGATATCAACAGGCAGTGAGTAGGAAATTAGAAAAAAGCTGGCAGGTAGTGCGTAGGAAGTTAGATATCAAGTAGGTAGTACGTAGAAAGTTAGAAAGATAGGTAAATTACAGGCATATACAGAACACGATAACGTTTTTATTCCAAATTTCGACGCCTCAGAGAAGTTCCGAGACAGAGTACAGTAAGTAATATTTGTAAACACAAGAAGAGAGACAAATATAAAAATGTAACCAAAGGTTGTGTTTAGAAAGCTAGAGAATTAAATACCCTTAAATACAGGAGATATGTTGAAAGATTAAAAAAAAGGTTAGATGCTATCAGTATATAGTAAGATAGAAAGTTAGAGCATTTGATGTTGGTCTCAATATCAATAGAATTCGAATATCTTATTTTTAAATTCACGAAGAAGCGCTAATCCCATAGGAGTCACGCAGCATGTAGGGTATGCGAGGTAATTATATCTCATCAAAGGAAGAGGGGGATCCTCCATTTCTTAGTAAAACATCCCCATCACTAGAAATATACATTTCTTTCTCTGGCTTTACTTCTGGCTGTGTATTGTGTGTGACCTGCACTCTCCTGTACATCTAATTCTGGCATTATTTACTTCTTTCCCATTCTTCCGGGTGCTGGCAGACATGTCTCTGTACAAGCAGGCTCTTCTACGCTATACACTGCAGCAACAAAGTAATTCCCCATCTTGTTACTCAATGATCTTCAAATATCTCAAGATGTGTGCTTCGTAATCTTTATTTACCTCTAATGACCCATTTAGCCATGGTGTTTACGTTCTGGACTGATGAAACTGATGTTAGCGTAAGTGTGTGAGACTGTTGATCATGTGCCAGCAGCATTAGCAGCCGTAGCAACAGCAGCCACTGCAGCAGCAGCAGCAGCTATAGCAGCAGAAGCAGCAGCAGCTACAGCAGCACAAGCTGCAGCAGCTACAACTTTAGCTGCAGCAGCAATAGTAGCAGCAGCAGCTACAGCAGCAGCAGTAGTAGCAGCTATAGCAGCACAAGCTACAGCAGCACAAACTGCAGCAGCAGCTACAGAAGCAGCAGCAGCAGCAGCAGCAGCAGCAGCTACAATCCTAAATGCTTGAGGGTCGCTTATACTAGACCTGGCCGACACCAAAAACATCTATTATCTACCTCAGCCTCCTGCCTCTTGTCCTCGTTACTATCTTAACATCTCCTCTTTGCTCTTACCCGCAACGTGAAGGAACCCTAAATACAAATTAATAACCA